AGGACTAGCTTTGGTGGGGAAAGACTTTCACTTGTGGATAATTGTGAGGGTGCTGAGTATATGGGGTGTAAAGCTCTGTCAGCTGAGGTCAATGTCAGCAGGCCTGCAGAGATCCTTAGTGGTCTGACATGTAGATGTCTCTGGTTGCAGCAGTCATGGTGAGGGGTTTTGGGGTTTTCAGTATCAAAGCCTTCTTCTGTGGTCCTCCTGTTCTTCTCTTCCCTAGTTCTTCCTAGGATTTGGGAAGAAGTCCTAGCCAAAGGGATTTTCCATGGTGTTGGTTCTGTGACAGGGGTATGCTGGTAGTCATGGTAGCACTGGGTTCCAGGGCTCAAGCACTTTTGTAGCAGCAGTGGTGCTGATATTCAGAGTACAGGTGCTCAGAGCAGCAACAGAGCCAGGGTTCTGGGTTCAGGGGTAAGCAAAACTTCTGTGGCACCTGGGTCTTGGAGCACAGGCAAATTGACTATGGCAGTGGGTGGCATCAGTGTCTGAGACACAGGCATGATCAGTCTTGTTTTGTGATATATTCAAAGTACACAAAACTCAACTCTTTTTAAAAAGCTATTAAATGATGTGGTTAGTATATGCTATACTACAATATTTCATGGAGTTCAATAATTCTTGAAATGAAAATTTCACTTTTAAGGAAATTATATTACTTATGATGCCTTTGGTTATAAGCTATAGAAAACACACATTGGACAGGTGTCTATACTTATGAGAATGAACTGTTTTATGTAACTGGTGTTGGACTAAAAAATCTGGTGTTGGCCTAAAAAAGAAATCACTCCAGTAGCATAGTGATGTTACTATGAGGCCATGTCCCCTCTTCTGCTCTGTTGTGTGTTGTCAGCTTCATCCTAATATTATCTGTTCTTATATTCTCAAAATAGCTGCCACAAGTTTCTGTGACCAAATGCCTTTATTCAAATCCTTGAGGAAATGATTATTTTTGATCCAGAAGTTTCAACAGAAAACATGGTAGTTAATTGTTCTGCTCAAAATGTCCGCCAACATCTAAACTAATCAGAATGGAAAGGGAGGGAGGGGACAGGAATGGAATGTGCTGGTTGGTGAGGGAACTGGCCCTTCCCTATAGAGCTGAGGGTAGCATCAGCACCACAGAATCATATGGATCTCCAAATGAAAATTAGGATTATTAAAAAGGAAGGAGAAAGTATTAGATGATGATGAGATAACCTATGGGCAATATTGTGATATAGTACAGTTTTAATTCCAGTATTATTTTCCTAGGAACAAAATACCTTTTTTGAACATTGAAAACACTTAATTTCTTACAGAACAGTCACTCAGTTTGATGAAGTGAGAAAGCCCATGAGGGAACAACAACAAAAAAGTAGAAGAAGAAGAAACAGAAGATACCCAGCCCTATGTGTCCTTTCTTTTTCCCCCATAAATACATATCCTCCTGTCCAGGTATTCTGTGTACAAAAAAGGGACTAGAGATCTATTTTGTAAATAAAAGGAAAACGGTATCCTTTCTGAAATTTGCTCAGAAATGAACATGTTTTGTTTTAGAAGCACTTTGGTCTAAGTATCAAGAATCACTCTTGAATTATTTTTTCAGTTCTTGAAAGACTTAAATCTTAGCCTTATAATGACATATGACAATGAAATGGCCAGGAAATTAATGACTGCAATTTTACTAATGATTTCTTTGCTCCTTTAAGCAAGTCACTGCTCCCTAGTGAATCAGTAAGAAAAGAGAATTATGGCTAAAAATTAATAAAGGATTCTAGCAGGCTGGTTCAGAGTCTTGGAATTAACCACATTAACCCTTTTCATCCTCATTCGTAACTCACTTGAACTAACCATACTCTTCAGGACGTATGCACACTGTAGTGAAAATGTTAGGAAATAATTTTACTTAACAAGTAAATAGGGTTCATTTAATTATATACAGCAACTGGAGTTGACGAGATATATATGTTTATATAACAAATTCCTCAGAATAAATTGGATTTTCAACTTGCCATTAAATCCATGGGGATTTGAACTTGTTTGCTCCTTAAAAGCAATCAGCTATTTCTAAGTACAAAACAGAGAAAGATACTTATAATACTTCTCAAATACAAGACTGTGCAAAGATACTTTACTGAATAAGGTACCACCATTAAAATTACACTATATTTAACATGAATATATAGAAACTAGTGTGCTCAAAGCATCACAAATCCCAAATTGCCTTACTATCATTAACATACGGGTTTATTACATTCCTATGAGCACTTAATTTTTTTCTTATTCTGTCAACGTTTGATACCACGGTACCTCAGGAAAGTTGTGATTTCTTCTATGTTGTTTATTAATTATTTTCATCTAGACCAAAGACCTTTTCTAATCCTGCATCCTCTGAATTCCTATGGTGGTTATTATATATACAAGTCTTTGGCATTGCTCATGTGCCGTCTTAAGCTGTTAAGTAGGGCTTGTTTGTCATGTTGCTATGTCTCATTCCCCAAACCACATTATAATCAATTCAGAAACTGATGAATTCAATTATTGAATTGATGTCTTTGAATCTCCCCAATTTGTGACAAAGTGACTGGAGTGAGAACATAAAGCTCCTTGGGAGTAGGGGTTTCATCTGATTTTTTTTTTCAAGGTAACTATGAGAACTCTGAGTTCTCTGACATATCGTATACACTTAATAATGGTTATTAAGTGAAAGAATAAATGAATTTAATACCAGTTGCTCAAGAGATGTTTGTTAGGTTGAATACTACTACTACCTAATCTACTATTTGCTGGACCTATGCATTTTAGTTAGTTTTCTAATAGCTATGTGATTTTCATCAGTAATTCAGGAAAAGTCCATGGGTTTGTGGCCTAGCACTGCCCTAGGATACGTGAAAGAGCCAAACACACACAAAAAAGTAGAAATTACAGTTTATATTTCTGAGAAATTCATGCTTCATTCCCACTTCTCAAGTATTGCAGCCTTACTCTTATTACACCCTCTTCTTACCCAAGCATGTCTTTGTAAGCCAGTTAATCTTGCCAAAGATCAGGGTCATTGTTTTATACAAGAATTTAACCTATATGAATCTGTACAGTGATACAGCCCAACAAGCACCCTCTTGCAGGAATGAGAACTAAGGAAAATCAGGCTTTGTGGGCTTAGGGTGTACATTTCAGCAGGTAGGTATAGGAAGCAAGTCCCTTTGTGCTAAGATCATCAATTCTCAGAGACACCTACTCGAAGAAGTTTTCCTCAGCACTTAAAATCCCCTCTCTTATTCCTCCCTTTAAATCTCATAGTTTAAGATGAGCCTGTCCACTATCATGAGACTCTTCATTTTATAACCTACTATTTCTGCAAAAGTCTGACAGTTCATGCTGGTTTTTCCTGCTTTTTCTGTAAGACCACCAGACTTCTCCAGCAATAGATTTACAAGGAAGACTTCCCTTTCTGTGCTACTGATTTCCCTTTAACTGCCTAGCAAGGGGTTCCTCCTCTAAACCTATTTTCAGAAAGCCCGCCATTAGGAGGAGGAACCACAGTTCTTCCATTCTAATTTTTGGTTGGCAGCCTATGGCAGCACCAAAGACTTATTTAGTTAACTCAGCAAAACCTTCTGTGTTCACTTGTGAGAGGGGCTCTCATACCACCTCAGTGGCTTGAATTCTAGGAAGTGACAGCTACAAGGCCATAAGAGTATGTGTTCATGACACACTTTGATTGTCAGCTGCATTACAGGCAACTTTCTCTGACTCACTGAGTTATTTGGTACATGAGAAAATAAATTGGCTCTTGGTATACAAATTAAGGTGCAATTTTGGTGGGATTATACTAAGGATTTACAGGATTCAATTTCTAGGCATACTATCTATCTTGGTATATATACTGTTCAAATGAAGTCATTTCCTGAACAATTTTCTATTCTGTCTCTCTTTAAAAACAAAATGTGTCATGAGTTGGCTGTTTAAGTAACAGAAAAATTAAGGACTTTTTAAAATAGAAACTTAATGGAAAACCAGACTTAAATGTTTGGTTTTTTTTTTAAACAGGTCATATGTATTTAACATTCATATTTAACCTATAGATTCTGATTATAGAATATATATTTTGCCACACTTCAGACTCAAGAGTTTTCAAAGGAAAACTTAAGATCTTGCCCCAAAACTCGCTCCTATTTCTGATTTCTCTATTTCCACCATTTCTTCCAGCCACCTAGATTCAAAGTCACAGTTTACCTTAAATCACTCTTCTTGTGTGATCCCCATTTCTAACCATCTTCCAAATCTGGTAGATTCTAGCATTCCATGTCTCTTACATGGACTATTAGCATGACCACATAACCTAAGTCATGCCCCACACTAATCCATTCTACCCAAAACTTTTAATATTTCATGAGTGCCATTTGAACTGAATATAAACTCCTAAACCAGGTATTGAGGGGGCTTCCCAATTGGGCCAATCTATGTTTTCATTCTTACTTCTCGACACTATCTGTAATCTTGTCCCAATAACAATAAAACCATAAACTCCTAAGATATATAACTCTGTACTTAATGACCCTTTGCTCATTCTGTGGCCTCAAGCTAAAACTTCTTCCAGCCCTTTAAAAGCTACTTTCCCTAAGAGGTCTTCTAAGATCTAATTTTTCAGATATAAGAATTTAAAGAATTTGTACATTCATTGAATGAGATTTTGTCACAGATCAGTATAGATAATTCCCTAAGTAAATCAGCCCCAGTGAAGACATGGGACATATTTAATGTAGACTGTAAATTCTACGAAGTCAGGCACCATGTCCATCTTCCACAGTGTTCTTACCGTGATGCCTGAAGGACAGGGCATCACAATGAAGAGGAATCCTGGCTGACAAATTAATTTAACTAAATAACATATCAAGTTTTTACAAAACCAAAATAACTCAATAAACAAAACCATCCAGAAAGGTGCTGCTATGCTCCAAGCTAAAGATGTTTTGTTATGCCAGCAAATGCCCATGATAATGTTGTAGTTAAAGGAATGTTATTTTATCTTTGTTTTTAAAAGAACGTTGGCATTCAAACCACTTCCAATTATTCTTGCATAAAAGCTGAGCATTTGAGCCATAAACCTGGTTTTTATCTGGCATCTGCAAGTACAATATTTTCTTTTCATGAGGTCTCCTATCAGAAGCCACTTTGGACATCCCCACAAAGACACTGCACAACACCACGGGCTGACCAGACAAAATGCCCTTTCCTGGATTTCCCTGCAGTTTGATAATGAAGAAAAAAAAGAGATTAAGCCAAAGCTTTCCCCCTCTGAGCCATCGTCTTTCTGTAGACGTTTTGAATAAATGTGGCCCAGCTGTCTCACTGACCTTCCAGGACACTGGGACTTCCCATTTCCAAATGCCATGAAGCAGTCCAAGAAAGCGTGCTTCTTTAAATTTGCCTTTTTCCAACGTTCCTGTGGGAAGAAAACATTTTTTTTTTCCAAATCAGCCTTATATAAATAGGCTTAACTTTATTTCTCTAGGCTAAAAATGACCTTGTACAGCTAATCCTTGCGTATAAAGTTGCAGGGTTGTTGGTCATTTTTTCCAACTTGTTATTAATATCAGACACAATTGTGTTTTTGGAACGTGAACTTATAAATAAAAAGGTTTAAAAAGAATTCTGTTAAGTGGTAAATGTAAATGATAATGTAAATCAACCACAGAATGGACCTAACAAGAGAAAGATTATTTATAATAATGTCTTAGGCTCCATCATAAAATTGCTCTTGGTAATAAATTTAGTAATACGGTACTCACAGCCCTGCCTACTGGAGAAAGGTTGGGATGTAGAATTAATACATCTGGATGCCACTTTTGACAGTTTTACCTAAAGGCAGAGAATGGACTAAATGACCTCTTAAGATTCTGTTCAGCCCTGTAACTTCCCAAACCTAAGAAATGGCAGATCAAGGTTTTAACTTACTTTATTTTTATTTTTTGTACTCCTTGGAAACCCAAAACAGAAACAACTTCTTAAAGAATATGAAATAAGTCTTCTGGTTTCATATAAAATTTATTTTGAAGTTGGGGCAGTTTATTCCAAACACTTTTCCATCTGGTTTGTAAATGTTGTACTGTATATGTTGCAAATCTAATCTATACTCTGTAGCAAACTTTTGTACTTAGTTACTAGAGAAATATATGACTGCTTATCTATATAGTCTTAGTTAATTTCTGAATTCATACTTTTGGCATAAAAAGCATACTGTATATGGCAAGACATAACTTACAGGTTTGAACAGTTCAGGTTCAGGAAAATACTTTGGGTTTCTATGTAGCCAAAATGGAGACAACATCAACAAGTCACCAGAAGGAATGATGTAATTCTACGATAGAAAAAAAATCAATTCCAAGTCATTTTTTTTTTGAAATATGCTTTAAGAAATATGTGGTGAAGGCTTACACATTTTATAATTGATGGCAAGAAAATATAACTCTATACTGAACAGGCCTTTCCAATTTTCAACTGATGTCTGATTCCTAATTCTGGTTCTGTTACATGTATATATATATATATTTGGTTCCATAGAAGGGAAGACTAGTGAAATGTCAAAATCTTAGAAACTACTATTAGTCCATAGTAATACAGCTTTGATGTTTGATATTGGGGTCTGCAGCAAGTGTTCTTAATGATAGAAGCCCAGTGGATCCCCAGATTATAAAACAGAAAAATCCAACTCTGAGACAGGGGCAATGACCATGGTAGTACCGAAGACAGGGGCAGTGGGTGTCCTACTCATGGGAGCACTGATGATGGTGGCAGGGCAGGGGCAGTAGATTCTTTTATGATTTTTTGTTTTTAAGTCCAGAAGTAGTCATTGGGGGGGGGGAAATTTGAAGACAGCTGGTCAGGAAAACATAGGAAAAATCAAATGTACATTTACTTGGTTGGTTTGTGTTTGCAGTCATAGTGGTTATGGGACTGAGGATAAGCAGTGTGATTCCTCAAGCAGCAGAGTCCATATTACCCTTTCCAATTCATGTTCTAATAGGTTCTCATGATTTAGAAACTATCCTAAGAACCAGAAACCATTTTATAAAGTCTCCCTTTTGTCACCATGTTCAGGAACCATGGGACAAAGAGATCTCTCCCAAGTTGTGTGATCACTAGACAGAGACCAACTTTACGAGGGGAAGATGTTTTATTAGGTAACTCTCATGGCCAATCATCATAAGCCACATCTATTGAACCCTGTATAATTTTGAAATGTCCTCAAGATATCTGCAGTAGAACACTTACTTTAGGTTTACATATCCCTAATGTAAGTGCTCTATGATGAAAAATATGTCTTTTTTTATGGCAGCAGGGAGTGGGGTGGGGGTCATCATTTTTTAATCCCGTTGGCTTTAGTGGGAACCAGGTATTGCTTGGAGTTTGGTGGTTTCAGTACCAAGAGAGCTGGAGAGAGTCAAGTCTAAAACTGGGAAGAAAGAAAGGCTTTTGCTGGTGTCCTCTTACCATTTTTAAGATAGAAAAAGATCTGTGAGATCCCACTCTTATCTGTTTTACCTCTGCTGGAATCAGTCATGGAGGCTTTGATATGTATTTGGAGTGGGGATGGGGGCAGCCCTGGGACAAGACTCCAGGTCCTTCCTCTGCCTACTCCCTAATCCTCTCTAGTCACTATTGACCTATGATCATGACTGGGAGACTACTGACTGCTGCAGCCTACAAATCAGGGTAGCAGAGGAAGGGCAACTTCAAATGGGTCCTCAGTAACAGAATTACCACTAGTAACAGGGAGGAGACAAGAAAGAAGTCACTGTTGCAGCAGCAGCAGCAGCAGCAGCAGCCAGAGAGATGAATGGCATGAAGGAATGTTGGAGCTGGTTCCATCAAAGAAAGCCTCTGAGCAAGTGGACATCATCATGCCCAGGCTAAACAGTCCCTATCTTTGTTCACATGACAGATTAACAGACAGATCAGGAAGGAGACAAAACAGCTGCAGGACAAGAACACAGATCACTAGCAAAGGGAAGTTACAACTTCTCTGTGTTGTAATAACTGCATCTCACAGGTAGGCAGAATTGAACCTGGCCAGCCCATTTCATCTGGCTTCTGTTGTGAAGACAGATGAACTTCATCTGCTAATCTAGAGGCGGGGCTTTCTTGAACAGGGAAGAGAAAGTAGGACTCTCTGTTGTAACTCAAGAAGGGTGCTGAGAGCTAAGCGTGGGCAGGGAATTTAGAATCTTGAAGAGAAAGGAGTCCTACAAAGGCAAAGCATCTATAACAGGAGGGTCCAAAGCACACAGCTTTTCTTTTGGCTCTTGGGCAGAAGCTTGGTTGATGTTAATTGAAGAAAAAAAGTGTTTTTTCAAATTACACAGTATATTGTTTTCTATGGTAAAAACTGATCTCTACAAAAAGTTTAGAAAATTCAGAAAAACAGAAAGACTAGAAAAGAAAATAACCAGAGTTCTAATACCCAAAGACAGTCATCAATTGGCTGGACTTTTCTCCAGTATTTTTACTTAGTAATAGTAGTCCTTTGTTGTTGTTAGACATAATTTTGATTCTCTTGAATAATCAATTTTTGAATCTTTCTTTGTTCACTTAACATACTAAGTATTTTTTTTTGTATGTTCATTGTGAATAATTTCCCCTCCAATCGCTATTTAATCTTATTTTTTTGCTATTTAATCTTTAACCACTTCAGTACGAGCATCCACGATAGTCGACAGCCACAGATGAACGCGCACAGCCAAGCGATGACTAGTCAACAGCCAAAAGCTTTTACTTTTACAGCTTTTATCTCTGCAGTTGCAGTGTGTACGTTCAGCTAATAAGTTACTACGAGTCTGTGACCTTTTAACAAGTCCTTAGTAGGAATTATTATAGTTATTTTCCTAAAGCTGCCTGTAAAGTAAAACAAGCTTTCAGTGCTTTAAAGCTTTCCTCATCACACAAGAGCAAAACGGATTCGTCGTCAATGCACAGCACAAAGTATCGTGTGGACTATGAGTGCCAGCTATGGGCAAGGTTTCGCGGCCGGTGAGCACTGAACGTTGAACCGAAGTGGTTATTTGGGTAGAATTAAGCCATAATTAATTTAAGCATTCCTTACCTTTTTCCTATAATAAATAACGTTACCATAAGCACTTTCTTCCACAAAGCATTTCTCATATAAATTATTTTAACACAGACATATGACATGATGGTTCAACATGTAAAGCAATGAACATACACATCACATCAATAGAATGAAGGGAAAAAACCATATGATCATCTCAATAGATGCAGAAAAAGCACTTGATAAAATTCAACATCCCTTTATGATAAAATCCATGAATGGATGGATTCCATTATATGGATAAATGGATTCCATTATATGGATTCCATTATATGGATAAAATATGGTATATGTATACAATGGAATACTACTCAATTATAAAAAATGATGGTGATCTAGCACCTCCTTATATTTTCCTGGATGGAGCTTGTGCCCATCCTCCCCCCTCCCACGTGCCCAATACCCTATTAGTAGTACCGTATCTGTGTCCACTTAGGTGCTGGCTCAGCGTTATACCAGTTTGCTGGTGATATATGGCTGTGATTGTTCTTTTCAGTTCTTGGAACTTCACCTTAGTAGTATGGTTCGCATGCTCTAACCAGGAAAAAAGATGTGCTATATCACCTATTCCGTGCTTCTGAGGCGAGTAATAGTCCCATGGTGTACTTAAACCCATTTACTCGCATTCACTCCTCTTGGATTGATGGGCACTTTGGCTGTTCACAGCCTTGCAATTATCGAATTCGTGCTGCTAAAACATTCGAGTGGCAGGCTGTCTTTTTTGTAGAGTGTCCATTGCGATCATATTGGCGTAGCATGCCAGGCCAATGGATTGCTGAGGATAACTGTAGATTCCTTGTAATCACTCCTAAGTATCCATAATCGCTTCCACAGACGTTGAACTAGTTTGCAGATCCCAACCAGCAGCACATAGGAGTGTTTCCTCCTCTCCGCATTCATGCAGCATTTCATCTGTTTGGCAGACTGTTTTGATAAGGCATTTCTCACCCTGAGTTAGGCCTGATATTTCATTGTTGTTTTGAGTGCATTCCCTGTGATGATTAGACGATGTTAACATTTTCTCATATCTGTCTCTGCCCATGCTCTGTCTCTTTAGAAAAGTTTCGTTCAACGTCCTTTGCCCACCTTTCTTTAATAGGTTATTCTGATTCTTTTCTTCCTGATTACCCCCCCCCCCCCCGCCCCCGTGAGTTCTAAGTATACTATTATCACCCCTATTCCGATTGTAGGAGCAAAATTTCTCCCATTTGTAGGTTTCTGTTACTTTCACTGACTATCTCTCTTGGCCTGTGGCAACAGCTTTCTTAGTTTCGATCTGTCCCATTTTTGTTGCTCGCTGTGACTGCGCTTGGGGACTTGTCTCATAAACGTCTTTGCCCAGGCCGATGTCTAGGAGAGGTTTCCACATTCTTCCTCTAGAGTTCTAATAGTCATACGGCCTCCTCGCATCGTTGTTAAGTCTGTTCATCCAGCGTGAGTTTTGATTTTGTGAGAGCTGAAAGGTTGTAACAGGTCCTGTTTTAGCCTTTCCACAGGTAGCTATCCCAAGCTCCAGTTTCCCAGCACCAATTTATTGAAAGGGATTCTTTTCCCCCCAGAGTATGTTTCTTGTCGCTGTCAAAGATTAGATGGCTGTCATAGGATGGTTTTATATCCAGGATTCTTCACATCCGTCCACTGCTCAATATTCCTTTTTGTGCCAATACCGCCAACTCGATTTAATTACTAACACTTTGTACGTATCAGCTTTGATATCTGGCATGTAATGCCCCCATGTTTTTTCTTGTTGGCCTCGAATCTCTTTTGATATTCGGGGCTTCTTTCTGTCCATACGAAGCGTAAAATTACGTTCTTCTAGTATTCCTTGTGAAGAATGCTGATGGGATTTTATAAGTAATTGCGCAGTTGCCATCTGTAGATCATTTTGGCTAGTATAGACACTTTTTAAGATGTTGACCTGCTGATCCACGACGTGGTATGCGATCCCCATCTGTTTACATCCTCTTGCTATTTTCCTTCCTCAGATGTTTCATAGTTCTTCCCCTGTAGAGGGTCTTTTACGATCCTGGTTAAGTATCAGTCGCTAGGTACCTTTAATTTCTTCGTGATGTGAAGGGAATTGAGTCTTGATTGGTTTCTCATTAGACTGTTGTTGGCGTAATATGAATGCTCTGTTCGTGTATCGCTTTTGTTCCTGAGACTTTACTAAATCATTCTGATCAAGTTCCAAGTTTCTGGTCTGAATCTTTGGGGTTTTCTAGATACGTATTGCTTTTAATTTCTAAAGTCCA